TGTATGGTGCTGAGGAATCGAACCCAGGGCCTCATGCATGCAAGGCAAGTGCTCTACCACTGAGCCACCTTCCCAGCCCCTGCTGAGACCTTTGCTCAGCCTGGCTCTGGCCAGTTGTTCGGTGTGGCAGGAGGCACAGAGATGCCTCAACTCTGCATCTTTTGGTGCCAGCAGGTTATGCAGCAGCACTATCTTGAGTTGCCAAGCCAACGAAATAACTTGGGATGGTTGCTTGGCAACTCTACCCTCCCGGACTCCTCCCTTCTGACTAGTGTGCTGCCTCTGAGGTCTCTGTCCTTTGAAGAGAAAGGAAGACAAGGGGGGCACCAAGTTAGGTGTAGGTGCGGGAGGGACGATGCAGGGGCGCCAACTCACCTTGCCACCACCAATGCCCATGCCACAGTTGTTAAGCTTGAGTTCGTGCAGGGTGAAGCAGGCAGGGCTCTTGAGTAGAGCCTCAAATCCACGTACACCATCGGGCCCGAAAGCATTGTCACTTAGGTCTAGCTCCACCAGCTGGGCTCCGGCGGTGATGAGACCCTCCCCTAGTGAGATCTGGAAGAGGAAGCTCAGATCAGTCTCCCAGCCACATGCCAAATGCTTCTATGATAGGCCTAGCCCTGCCACCAGGGGGCACTACCTCCATGCTAGGCCTCGCCTTGCCACCAGAGGGCACTGCTTCTATGCTAGGCCTAGCTGTGCCACCAGAGGGCGCCGAGGTACAAAGGCTTTTACAGCAGTTTTATGATGTTCCCACACTGGAAACCTGGAAGACCACTGTCCACAATGTGCATGTGCCCGTCTGGAATGCTTCCTGTAGGAGGTGGCATCTGAGCTCAATGTGAACAAGGGCTAGCATGAAAGAAATTCCAGGTAGCAGTAAAAACTAGAGCAGAAAGATTACCAGCATGACGTAGTAGGTAACAGGCAGAAGGCAAGCCAGGGGTCAAAATCAGGCAAGAGCCTTGAAGACGAGGACAAGGTCTGTACCCCTAAGCTGAGAAAACACATTTGGACATCACTAGCTGGCAAGGAAGCGAGGTCCTAGGAACCCAGGAGCCGGGCAGAAGGAGGCTGGTGGCCACCCACAAGTATGATGTGGGCAACAGACGAAGCCAGGCAGTATGGGCAGAAGCAGGTGAGGAGCAGTCTGTTCAGAAGGCAGGGTAACGTGCTGGAAGTCGGGGTACCCTAGAAGGACAGGACAGATGGAGGCCCCACAAATGCCCCTAGGACTTGGGCATCATCTGGGAAGATGGACGTGGATTGGCAGAGCTCTGTGCAGCTGGATCTGTCTCAAGCTCCCTCTGCCCCTGGAAGAAACAGGCCAGAGGGGAGAAGCTATCTGGGAGGTGACACAAATGGGAAAGGGGTCGTCAGCCAGGCTGTGGATCACTCAGTGGCTGAAGCCGTTTCTCTGTCCTCCACCACTGTGTGAAGCAGGCAAGGCTCCCTTCCCCCGCCTCCTCTAGTCAGGCCCCGCAGAGTCCCAGACTGCAGGTGACACAGCTGGTCCACTGTGCCCTCTCCTCCCGCATCCTGCCACTGCCGGGCCCCGGTTTTTTTTCCTTTCTTTCTTCGGTTTCTTTTTGTTCGGCGGGTTTTGAGGCAATTGATTGTTACAACTGGCATGAGCCAACGAGGCTTTCCTCCTGCCCTCCATCTTCTCCCCTGAAATCAACCGCCCAGATTTCCTTAACGTGTATTTTGAATCCTAGCTTTATTGGGTTTTTCTTTGGTCAGTTGTGGGGCTTGAACTCTGGGCGCTGTCCCTCAGCTTTTCAGCTCAAGGTGAGGGCTCTACCACTTGAGCCACAGCACCACTTCCGGTTTTCTGGTGGTTTATTGGAGATAAAAATCTTATGGACTTTGCTGCCCAGGCTGGCTTTGAACCTCACTTCTCAGATCTTAGCCTCCTGAGTAGCTAAGATTACAGGCGTGAGCCACCAGCACCTGGTTACTGGGTCTTTTTCTTTCTTTTTTTTTTGTGTCCGTTATGGGGCTTGAACTCTGGGCCTGAGCACTGTTCCTCAGCTCTTCAGCTCAAGGCGAGCGCTCTACCACTTGAGCTACAGCGCCACTTCCGGTTTTCTGATGGTTTATTGGAGGTAAGTGTTTCACAGCTTTTTCCTGCCTGGGCTGGTTTTGAACTGAGATCCTCAGATCTCAGCCTCCTGAGTAGCTAGGATTACAGGCATGAGCCACCGGCGCCCGGCTCTTTTTCTTCCTTCAAGGCTGGGCACTAACACCACCAGCACTCAGGGGGCGAGACCCCGTCAGGAGACCCTTGTCCAGTATCATGAAAGCCCAGCCCCCTGGGTGGCCAAGTGTCTGCTGGGAGGAGGTGCACACGCATCTCTGGAACCCATGTGGTTGGAAGAATGAAGACCTGAGGAGGCCCCAACATGACCGGAACCGTGAACACTGAACACCTGTGTCTGGCTGGCCCAGGCTGGAGGGTAGCGATGCCATCAGGTCCTGGTCTACTACTGTGTTTCCCCTTCTGTACACAGAGGCTGGGGACGCGAGCCTAACCAAAACTGAGGCCCTAGGAATGAAGAACTAAAACAGCAAAGCAGAGGGCTGGGAAGGTGGCTCAGTGGTAGAGGGCTTGCCTTGTATATATGAGTCACTGGGTTTGATTCCTCAGCACCACATAAACAGAAAAAGCTGGAAGTGGCACTGTGGCTCATGTGGTAGAGCGCTAGCCTTGAGCTGAAGAGCTGAGGGACAGCGCCCAGGCCCAGAGTTCAGGCCCCACGACCGATTAAAAAAAAAAAGAAGCCAAGCAAAGGAGAGTCACCCATGATGAGAAGCAAGGAGTATGTGTTTGGGGAGGGGGAAATGGGATGATTAGAGAGGTGCATGAGGGAAAGGGTGGTGGAAGGGATAAAATCTAGCCAAGGAAGGAGCCCTGGGCAGACGCAGGGCGGGGCTAGCGGCTGTCCAGCTTCCCACTCAGCGTCTCATTTTAAGCCTCCATAAAGGGACGTGGGGCCCCGGTGCGGGTGCCTCGGGGAGGGCAGCTGATTCTTACCAGGGCTGGTGGGATCTCAGAGCGCAGCCTCCCGGTGAACATGTCGCTCCAGTGGCATCGCTGCGGAGGAAGGAGAAGGTGAGCCGGAGACCCAGAGGTGACACGAGCCACAAACACCAACTTCATCTCTTGCCTTCTGAACCCAGGGAGAGTTGGGCTCAGGCTTGGAGCTAGAGGTGGCAAGCGTTAAAACTCACCACACCAGGGGCCGAGCTTGGTAGTATCTACCTGTCATCTCATCTGCTAGGTGACACACTGGGCTCAGGCTCCTATAGAACAGTCCTGCGCCACTGAAATCACCCCTGCTGAACTTCTGCTCCTCTGAGTTAGAAAATAAAGACACAGGGGCTGGGAAGGTGGCTCAGTAGTAGAGTGCTTTCCCTAGCATGCATGAAGCTCTGGGTTCAATTCCTTAGCACCACATAAAGAGAAAAAGCCAGAAGTGTTGCCATGGCTCAAGTGGTAGAGTGCTAGCCTTAAGCAAAAAAAAGAAAAGAAGCTCAGAGGCAGTGCCCAGGCCCTGAGTTCAAACCCTAGTACTAGCAAAAAAAAAAAAAGAAAGAAAAGAAAGAAAAAGGAGACACACCTAAAGCCTTAAAGTAGGGGTGATTAGTTAAAGGATTAAAGAAGAATGGAAAACCCAGACCCAACCCTATACAGATTTCCTGTCTAGAAAACAGGTCTTTCTCCTTCAGACATAAATATGCTAATACCCCAGGGATTCTAGAGGGAAAGAAACGCTGACATTTTGTATATGCTGCTACTTTTCTTCTTTCTTTTCTTTTTTTTTTTTGGTTGGTCAAAGGGCTTGAATTTGAGCCCTGGGCATTGTCCTTGAGGTCTTTTTGCTCTAGCAAGGCGAACGCTCTACCACTTGAGCTACAGCGCCACTTCCGGTTTTCTGGTGCTTTGTTGGAGATAGGAGTCTCATGGTCTCTCCTGCCTGGGCTGGCTTTGAACTGCGATCCTCAGATCTCAGCTTCCTGAGTAGCTAGGATTACAGGCGTGAGCCACCAGCGCCCGGCTTCAAGGCTAGACTTTGAATTAGTTTGCCACTTCCAATTTTCTGGTGATCTCATGGACTCTCCTGCCAGGGCTGGCTTTGAACTACAATCCTCCAATCTCTGCCTCCTAAGTAGCTAAGGATTACAGGCGTGAGCCACTGGCACTTGACTGCAGCTGCTTTTCTTATAAAGCATGCTGACATAGTCAGTGGAACCCACTTGGGGATAAGAGTCTGAAAACCCTTTGTATTTGCCAAGAAAGGGGTGGCAACCAGAACTAATTTTTAGGAAAGAATAGGGAAGAAAGGAGAGATGGAGGGAAGGAGGAACAGATGAAGAGCGGAAGGAGAGATGGAGGGAGGGAGGGGTGAGGGAGGGAGGGAGGGATGGAGAAAACCTGCCTCAGCTGTGCAGTGGTTAGCTGTGTCTCTATTACCTTCCCAGAACTGCACCACGGGAATGGAGGCCAGGACATTTTTGTCTAACCCAAGACTACAGCAGGCGATCATCCACGCTGGTGTGTCTGCAGAGCGGCCTCAGCCAGGGGTACGCGTTGGCTAGCACTGGTGGCTCATGCCTATAATCCTAGCTACTCAGGAGGCTCTGACACCTGACAATCGCAGTTCAAAGCCAGCCCCGGCAGGAAAGTCTGGGATTCTTATCTCCAATACATGATTCAGAAATAGCCAAAAGTGGAAGTGGCGTTGTGGCTCAAGTAGTAGAGGGCTCACCTTGAGCTGAAGAATGAAGAGCTCATGGACAGCACCCAGGCTCAGAGTTCAAGCCCCATAACTGACCAAAAAGAAAAAAAAAAGAAAAGAAAAGTGACGCTGTGGCTCAAGTGAAGCTCAGAGACAATTTCCAGGCCTCAAGTTCAAGCCCCAGGATTGGCACAAAAAGAACAATAAAAACCAAAGGGAGAGCAGCTAGTTCTAAGTTCAAGACTCAACAGGGGCAAAAACAACAACAAACAGCCAACAAAGCCCACGAGTGAGCACTGAGGACGGATCTCCTCAGTTTGTCTTTCGCAAATGTCACCCCAAGCTACTGCCATTTACTGACCCCACCCGAACGTCTGCTCGCTGCCTACAGGCCTTGGGGCCAGGAGAGTGCTGTGTGCCCCCTGGGGGCCTAGGAAGAGGGGCTGAAGAACGGTCAGGGCGCAGTGGGGTTTGGGAGTGGAGACGCAGGCAGGAGCGGTGCAGTGTGGGAGAAACCTGCCCCCCGCGCCCCTGCGCGTCTTACCTTCAACTCCGACTTCTTCTCTAAGGCCTTGGCGATGACCCTGGCCGCTTCCACGCCCACGGTGTTGCCCTCCAAGCGCAGAGCCTCCAGGCCGTCGAACTCTTCAATTTCTTTAATCACGTCTTTAGCTGTCCAGAGCCAAAGAACAACCAGAACCTCAGATTCGTTGGGGGGCAGGGTAGAGAAGGACAAACACGTCACGCACACGTCAAAGCTTGCAGTGTACCACAATCTGGATCCTAATGTGACGGGAGAAGCCGCCAGGCTCACAGCCAATTCCTATACAATGACCATTACAACACGCTGTGTGTAAAAGGCTAGGGACCCAAGAGAAGGAGAAACTGCCTGCTTGGAACAAAGGTGATTTCACCAAGTGCATGGTGTGCGGAGTCTCCACACACAGGGAAGGCCCCAGGGTAAGTAGGAGAATGGCCCCGAAGTCCAAGGACTGGCAGGCACATGACACAAGGGCCTTCTTTTTTTTGGTCCATCGTGGAGCTTGATCTCCGGGCCTGGGCGCTGTCCCTCAGCTCCTCAGCTTAAGGCATGCGCTCTACCACTTGAGCCACAGCACCACTTCCAGTTTTCTGGCAGTTCATTGGAGAAGAGTCTCACAGACTTTCCTTCCCCGGGCTGGCTTAGAACCATGATCCTCAGATCTCAGCCTCCTGAGGAGCTAGGATTACTGGTGTGAGCCACCAGCACCTGGCTTTAACGATGTGTTTTTATAATGATGAAAAACTCAGGAAGTGGAGCTGTGGCTCAGGTGGTAGATCACCAGCCTTGAGGGAAAAAGCTAAGTGAGAACAGGAGGTCCTGAGTTCAAGCCCCAGTACTTGCAAAAAAGAACTTCAAACTCCATGCATGTGCACTGAGGGAAAGGGCAGTCACGGTGGGAAATAGCAATGCAGATCCCATTATAAGTGGTGACACAGATTTCTCTTGACTTGGGAATAATCATTTTATAGTACAGTATAAAGTGATCATGCTTAACATGTATGTAGGAATCTAGGTACTGGTAGTCTCACCTGTAATCTTTTTTTTTTTTTTGGTCGGTTGTAGGGCCTGAACTCTGGGCCTGGGCGCTGTCCCTCAGCTCTTTAGCTCAAGGCGAGTGCTCTACCACTTGGGCCACAGTGCCATTCCAACTTTTTCTGCTTATGTGGTGCTAAGGAATTGAACCCAGGGCCTCATACATGCAAGGCAAGCCCTCTACCACTGAGCTACTTCCCTGCCCTCACCAGTAATCTTAACTACTCAGGAGACTGAGATCTGGGAGTTAGTTTGAAGTTAGCCCAGGTAGTAAAGTCCAGGAGACTCTTATCTCCAATTAACCAGGAAAAAAAAAGCCAGCAGATGCTAGGCACTGGCGGCTCATACCTGTAACCCTAGCTACTCAGGAGGCTGAGAGCTGAGGATCGTGGTTTGATGCCAGCCCAGTCAGGAAAGTCCATGAGACCCTTATCTTCTGCTCAAAAAAGTCTAGAAGTGGAGCTGTGGCTCAAGTGGGCAGCGCCCAGGCCCGAGTGCAAGCCCCAGTATTTGTACTAAAAGAAAAAAATAGTTTCCTTTTAAAAACAACAATAACAACAACAAAAAAAAGCAGGACTCCATCTTTCTTCCTGCCATCCTCTCTTCATCCTCCATCCTTCCCTCTCCCTGAAGCATCTCCTCCCCTCCTCGTCCCTGGCCTGCCCAGGTGAAATCTCTATTGTGCAGGCTTCCTGGCCCTTCACCTGTCCAGGGCATTTCTGCTACAATATTCACATTACCATTTACGTGAATGGCTCTTTGATCATTACACCATTTTCCTTACTAGATCGGTGTCAAGACCAGCCTACAGCAGCAATCTAAGTGCTTTATATACATTCCCCACGCCCCTAAAAACATAGTAACCAGTACGCCCAGTTTAGAGTGGAGTGATCTGAGACACAGAGGCAACGAGGTCACCCAGCTGGCACTGATTACCCTGTTTAGGAGAAGCCAAGGCCGGGCAGGTTTGCACCTCCTAATGTTAGAAGAGGAAGCTGAGATTTCAAGGAATGATTAACTAAGAGTTGTGGGGAAATAAATGGCATAGCAAGGCTTCACCTTGACTTTCCCCAATGGACTGCTCTCACCAAACTCTTCTCTTCCCTTGTGTCCCATTCTGCCCCAGCCCCTTTTCTGAATCTGGTTCTCTCGGGTCAGGGCTAGGTGATCTCGCTGCCCACTGGAAGCCACACTCCAAAAGGTGGTCCCTGCCTAATGCTCAAAGATGGGCCAAGTAGACAAGGGGAAATGCTTCCAGAGTCCAAAAACAGTGAGGAGACACAATCAGAGAGCCAGGAAAGCCTTTGCTCATGCTGCATGAATGACATTACGAGCACAGGGACTGGACACCACAGGTTCAGCTTGGAGAAGTCACCAGGACAGGTCAAGTTAGGAAGGCCTCCATCAAACTGGGAGAGCAAGGCTAGGAAGGAGGGGTCACAGGCCACTCCCTGTGGTTTTCAATCCAAGCAGAGCTACACCACTGAAAAACGCCACTCCTGCTGGGCGCTGGTGTTTCACACCCATAATCCTAGCTACTCAGGAGACTGAGATCTGAGGATGATGGTTCAAAGCCAGCCCCCTTACCAGGAAACCAGAAGTGGCACTATGGCTCAAAGTGGAAGAGCACTAGCCTTGAGTAAAGAGAGCTCAGGGTCAGCGCCCAGGCTCTGCTTCAAGCTCCACAACTGACAAAAAATAAATCAAATAAACCAGGTTGGGAAGGTGGCTTGGTGGTAGAGTGCTTGCTTAGCATGTATGAAGCCCTGGGTTTGATTCCTCAGCACCACATCCACAGATGTGGCACTGTGGCTCAAGTGGTAGAGTGCTAGCCTTGAGCAAAAAGAAGCTCAGGGACGATGCCCAGGCTCTGAGGTTCAAGCCTCCAGACGGGCAAAAAAAATCAGTTCTCCCTGGGTGCTGCTGGCTCCAGCCTGAATCCTAGTTACATAAGAGGCTGAGACTGAGGATCACAGTTCAGTCAGCAAGAGCAGGAAAACCCAGGAGACGCATCTCCAATTAAGCACCAAAGCTGGAAGTGGAGCTATGGCTTAAGTAGTAGAGCACTAACCTTGAGCAAAAAAGCTAAAGGACAGCACTTGGGCTCTGAGTTCAAGCTGTAATACACCTACACAGACACACATACACTCCTACCCTGACAGGCTGGGATTGGGCCTCGATCACTCCTGAAGACCCAGTCATTATCATGAGACAGTCTGCCAGGACTTTTTTTTTTTTTTTTGGTCGGCCCTGGGGCTTGAACTCTGGGCCTGGGTGCTGTCCCTCAGCTCTTCAGCTCAAGGCGAGCGCTCTACCTCTTGAGCTACAGTGCCACTTCCGGTTTTCTGGTGGTTTATTGGAGATAGGAGTCTCATGGTCTCTCCTGCCCGGGCTGGCTTTGAACCTCGATCCTCAGATCTCAGCCTCCTGAGTAGCTAGGATTACAGGCGTGAGCCACCAGCGCCCGGCATTGCCAGGACTTTTTTTTTATAGCCTTACCACCACATAGAGAAATATGTTTAAGATGCTTGTAAAGCAAAAGGGCCTAGTTTTGTTGTTGTTGTTTTTCGGTTGTGGGGCTTGAATTCTAGGCCTGGGCACTGTCCCTCAGCTCTTCAGCTCAAGGCGAGGGCTCTACCACTTAGAGCCAACAGCACCACTTTGGCTTTTTCTGCTTATGTGGTGCTGAGGAATCCAACCCAGGGCCTCATGCATGCAAGGCAAGCGCTCTACCACTGAGCCACCTTCCCAACCCCTAAAAAGGCCTAGTTTTTGACCCTTAAGTAACTTACTGAAGAATCCTTGTTCTAGCCATCATCTTTAGGGTCTCCTAAACACACAGGACCACTCCCACCCAGCCCAGAGCCCCTCATCTGGGCCCACATTTGGGCCTCCAGGCTTTTCTTGAATGCAAGAGCCTCTGTCCTGAGCTCCCTGTGGGACTTGAATTTTCCTTTGTCTCTAGCATGCCCTCCAAGTCTCAACCCCAGAGTCTACCTCGCACGTGGCTCTTCTTGCCTGCATTGGCCTTTTTTCTTTCAAGAACACCTCAAATACCAAGGCTGGGAAGGTGGCTCAGTGGTAGAGTGCTTGAGTTCATGCATGAGGCCCTGGGTTTGATTCCTCACTACCACCTAAGCAGAAAAAGCCGGAAGTGGCACTGTGGCTCAAATGGTAGAGCACTAGCCTTGAGCTGAAGAGCTGAGGGACAGCGCCCAGGCCCAGAGTTCAGGCCCCATGACCCACCAAAAAAAGAACAATTCAAATACCAATTTGCCCACAAATAGGGAGTGGGAGGCTCACATCTGTAATTCTGGCTATTCAGGAGGCTGAGATCTGAAGATCTCAGTTCAAAGCTGGCCTAGGCAGGAAGGACTGTAAGACTCTTTTTTTTTTTTTTTTTTGGGTCCAGTCGTGGGGCCTGAACTCTGAGCCTGGACACTGTCCCTCAGCTCTTCAGCTCAAGGCTAGCACTCTACCACTTGAGTCACAGCGCCACTTCCGGCTTTTTTTCTTTTTGCTTATGTGGTGCTGGGGAAATCGAACCCAGGGCTTCATGCATGCAAGGCAAGCGCTCTACCACTGAGCCACCTTCCCAGCCCAGGACTGTAAGACCCTTATCTCCAATAAACTACCCAAATTCCAGAAGTGGAGCTATGGCTCCAGGGGTGGAGTATCACCAGCCTTGAGCAACACAAGAAGCTGAGAAAACAGCACCTAGGCCCTGAGTTCAAGCCCCAGACCAGCACAAAAAGAAAACAAAACACAAAGAAACTTGGAAGTGGAGCTATGGGTCCAATGGCAGAGCACCAGGCTTGAATGGAAAAGCCAAGAGAGAGCATAAGGCCCCGAATTCAAGTTCCAGAACCAGATTAAACCAACAAACAGGAATAAAAACAAATGGCATTAAATAACAAATACATGTTTTCTGAAGTCAGTGTCTTCTTAGAAGCATGAGGTTTGGGGCTTTGGTTGGGACTCAGTTAAATCCCGACTCAGCTATTTACTGTGTGACCTCATAGGAGTTACATAAGTTTCCTAAGTCCCTTTATAAAACAGCAGTATTTCCGCCTACCTCCCACAGACAGGATGGGAGGATCGAAGATAAAGCACAGGGAGGAGTCTGCACATTTCAAGGGATGGATAGCACCAGGCTCCCAGCAACAGAGGTCTCAGCAGTCCTTGGCCCAAGGGAGGAAAGTAAAGTGTCTGCACATAACAACCAGGCAGCTTCAGACCAGTTTCGCCGGTTCAGCCCAAACCCCAGGAGGCCTCATAAGCATTGACCTAGGCACATTCATTCCAGAAGTCAGGTGACTCAGGATACCAGCCTGGCATTGGCCTGGGGTGGCAAGACCACATCTACATCCTGGTTCACAGAAGGCAGTTTCTATTCCTCTTCCAAACATCTAGGTGCAGGGACAGACCTCTCAAGCGGGCTGAAGTTGCCAGTGGTCACACCTATAATCCTAGCTACTCAAGAGGCTGAGATCTGAGGATCACGGTTCAAAGCTAGACTAGGCTGGAAAGTCCGAGAGACTCCTATCTACAATAAACCACCAGAAAACCGAAGTGGTACTGTGGGTCAAGTGGTAGAGCATTTGCCTTGAGCTCAAGAGCTGAGGGACAGCGCCCAGGCCCAGAGTTCAAGCCCCAGGACCAAAAGACAAAAGAAAAAAGGGGCTGCATCTGTGGGTGCCGGGAACCTTGCCCCCCTTGTGACCCACCAGCCTCTCCTTGAGGGAAACAGTGAGCAAAATGATGCCCACTGCGAACTTGCTGACAGGCAGGGACACCTATGTGTGTCATTGTGCATCATTAGAATGGGTCAGACAACTTCACAGAACAATTAGGAAACAGAACGAAGCCTTGAAAAGACAGAGACTGACAGGGTGCGCTCTCCCTCACACGACCAGCCAGAGACTCACCGTCTTCCGCAGTGTTCAGCTTGAGGCTCTTGCCCTTAAAACTCAGCTGTCCTCCGGCCACCTGGGTTTTGGCCAGGGTCTCTGCCAGTTTGGCAATGTCTTCAGAGGCCATGCTGGCCACGATGGTCGGCTTCCCTGGAGATCTGCAAACTGAAGTGGCCAAAACTGAATTAGGAAAGAGGAGTCTGCTGGGTGCTGGTGGCTCATGCCTGTAAATCCAGCTACTCAGGAGGCTGAGATCTGAGGATGGAGGTTCAAAGCCAGTCCAGGCAGGTAAGGTCATGAGACTCTTACCTCCAATCAACCACCAAAAGTTGTAACTCAAGTGGCAGAGTGCTAGCCTTGAGTAGAAAAACTTAAGGGACAGCATCTATGCCCTGAGTTCAAGCCCCAGGACCAGCACAAAAAAAAAGAAAAAAAAGAAGTTTCCTACCATATATAAGACTCTATGTTTGATCTCCAGATGAAGGAAGGAAGGAAGGAAAGAAGGAAAGAAGGAAGGACGGATCTCCTCAGGGTACTATGAGTTTTCAGAGAAGAAACATGGCATCTTGGGAGTTTGGCCTCACTCTCCCTTGCCTTGGAGAATCCAAAAGCTTAAAACACTGGAGGAAATGAACAAAAGGGCACCAAAGGCTCATACCTGTATTCCTAGCTACTCAGGAGGCTGAGATCTGAGGATCAAAGCCAGCTCAGGCAGGAGAGCCCATGAGACTCATCTCCAATTAACTAGCAAAGCTTGAAGTGAAGCTGTGGCTCAAGTGGTAGGGTGCTAGCGGTGGGTGTAAAAAAATACTAATAGATAGTACTCAGGCGTAGCACGTGCGTGCGCGTGTGCGCGTGCGCACGCACGCACGCACACGCACACACACGCGCGCGCGCACACACACACACTAGGATGTAGCCAACAAAGTCTTCACCTCTACAGAGTAATGTCCTATAGCCAAGTTGCCTCAGCAGGGAAACGGCTAAATCATTTCTGAGCTTTCCCCAACCCCTGCAGTCAACAGCAGTCAAGTCCCAAACCCATGGCTTTGCTCATCTACCTGTCCCAAATACACACCTGCCTGATCATCCTGGCAGCTCTCTGTTCGAGGACCCTGGTCCTCAAACAGGAAAAAGATGGCTAAGGGAGCCAGGTCATCCATCGCAGGGAATGCCCCGCAGCCCACGTTGGCATGACTCTGAGGGGTGGGCACCAGGGCTCAGCCGGCTGCACATCCGGTTTCAACCCTAGGCCAGGAGACTGTGCAGGACAGGATGGCCTGTCTGTTCCTAGGAGACCAGCGGTGGCTACATCACAAGGCCGTCATCACAATAGGCCAGTGTATAAAACACAAACTCAAAATCTCTCCTCCATACTGTTGCAGGGAGAAGTTCTTCAAGCAAGCAATGGGTCTGCAGCAGACCCCAGCATGCCAATGCAAACCCCAGGCTCCTTGTCTGTGTGCCTCTGACCTACTGTCTATGAAGCGGGGTTCGTTTCAGCAGCCGACCTTGAGTTCTTTACTTTGCTGCAACAGCAAAGGCTCATGCAGACTCATGTTCACTGGCTTGTTCCAAAGAATGTTTGCATGTGTGTGCGGTACTGGGGATGGAACGCAGCATCTCACGCCACTGAGTACTATCTTCCAGCCCCTCTAAAGAATAGCAAATGTAAAGGAAATAAAAGAGGAGGCGGTGAAGGAATGCGCTGGAGGAGGGATGAGAAGCAGGCTCGCACTTCTGTGTCCTCTGGGCTTTAACCACCCTCCATGTTCGGCGGTCGGGAGCTCTGTTAATTCTCTCCTTTTGGTTTTTCATTCCATAAGCATGATTGACTAAATCACTGGCGAAAGTGGTTATCAACTTATCCTTTAGCCTCTCTCCCTTCCCCAGAGGCCGGGCTAGAGGGCAAAAAGTCCCAACACTAATGCAGCTTGGATTTTTCTAGTGACCAGCCCCATCCAACTGCTACCTAGGTGGCTGTGGTCAGCTCACTGGCATGCAAAATGACACGAATCACTATAAGATTTGTATCTGGGAAGCATGAAGATCAATTTATGTCGTACAATAGCACAGCCAGTGATAGAACTGCTTCTAGCTTACAGCTCAGCAGACAGGGAGAATGGATAGCTTGGTCTAGGGTACAGCTCTATGGACTTGTTTAGCATGTATGAGGCCTGGAGATCTCTTAGCACTGCCAAAAAAAAAAAAATAGAGCTAAACAACTTCATTTTCCCGAAGAGTTTAAGTATTATCCAGAAGAAAGTATTATCCTCTCAACCTCCTCATCCTGAGACACAACTGCATACCCCTCATCCACCGGGTCTCCTTTCTCCTTATCGTATAAGATAGAGTTTACAGTTTATATTTTTGTGTGTATGAGTCCAATGTTTTTGGTAGTTCATTGGATAAGTCTCATGGACTTATCTGTTTGGGCTGGCTTTGAACCTCGATCCTCAGATCTTAGGTTCCTAAATAGCTAGGATTACAGACATGAGCCACCAGTGCTGTGCTTTCCAATGGCTTTTTTCCTTTTTTGGTCTAAAATTGGGACTTGAACTTGGTACCTGACACTTTTACTCATTGGTTAGCATGCTAACTAAGCCATCCTTCAACCCCTATGCTGGTTATTTGAGATAGGTTCTTGATTCCTATGTCAATGTGCTTTGCCTACTTTAGGCTTCCTATAGTCTCTGGGATGCAGGACAATGCAGCACCCAACTGCTACATTGTATCTTTAGCAATAAACATGAATTATTTTTCTAATTTAAGTTACCTAGTAATCATTCAACAAAAAGAAATATTTACTGTCCTGGACATTGTTCCAAGTATCAGAAGCACAGTAGTAAATGAAACAAAACACTTCCCTCTTGATGTTTATGTCTGATTCCTTTTTTTCTCCTTGGTCAGTCCTGGGGCTTGAACTCTGGGCCTGGGTGCTGTCCCTCAACTCTTTAGCTCAAGGCTAGTTCTCTACCACTTGAGCCACAGCACTACTTTCAGTTTTCTGGTGGTTTTTATTGGGGATAAGAGTCTCATGAACTTTCCTGCCCAGGCTGGCTTTGAACCATGATCCTCAGATCTCAGCCTCCTGAGTAGCTAGGATTACAGGTTCCTCGCTTTTTTTTTGGGGGGGGGAGAGGACAAGATCATGTTATATATCCAAGCTGGCCTGCAACTCACAAGCCTCCTGTTTCAGTCTCCCAAATGCAGGGATTACAGGTATGCACTACATACCTAGCTTGCCACTTTGAGTCTAAACAAAATATCTAGTATTTTAGTAATTAAAATAAACTGGAAGCTGGGGCTATAGTTCAGTTGTAGAGAACATGCCTAGTATACTCAAAGCTCTGGACTCAATGCTCAGCAGTGAAAAAAAAAATAGAAAGTTAAATAAAAATAAACAGGAAGGCAGGTAAGGGAGATCGTGTGTTTTCTTTCTTTCTTGTGGGGAGGACAGAATAATTAGAGAAAGTGTTATCAGAAAATAAACAAAAATATAAAGGATATCTTGCAATAAGTTATGCAAGAAAGACATGTGGGAGTAAACCATTCCTGAAAAGGGAACAGAATAGACCAAGGCTTCTGGGCACAGAGGAAAATAGACCGATCAGAGGAGATCAGTGGTGCGGGAGCACACAGAGGAAGGGAGAAAGGAGGCAGATGAGAAAGGAGAAGGGGCTTTAAGTCAGGAAGGCCATGTTAAGAGCTGTGGCTTTTTCTCTGTGGACTGCCAGAAGGTTTCTAGCAGAACAAAAGCGCTCTACATCTATCACTGTAAATGGCTTGGCTTTTGAAAGGTGTCCCAAGAATGACCAATAGAAAATAAATATTAACTCGCAATTCAACCACCTCTAACAGCTCCAAGTTAGAACAACTTGAAGCTAGTAAAGTGTTGGGGGGAAAAGGAGGTGGGACACGGAACTTCGCAGCTGAAGGGGGTCGGTCATTAGGAGAGAGAGACACACAGACCGACACAGACGCGCGCGCAACACACACACACACCGTCTTCCATCACGTCAAAGCACAAAGACAGACAGACTGGTTTGCCCAAAGCCAGCAAAGAGCCAGCGACGGTGCAAAGACAAACGGTTAAGACACAAACGTGTGTCCTCCCGGGCGGCCGCGTGGGAGCTGTCCTTCGGTGCGCATCCATCGATCCGCAGCGCATCGGCGGTGACTCACGCCGATCTCCCCCAGGCAGGCGTGGGCCCAGCGGGAGGCGGCGCGGGCGAACGCGGGAGGCATGACGGGCGTGGGGAAGGAGGCCAGCGGAGGTTCCCGGGGACCTCGAACCGCCTCCAGGTGAGACTGACGCGCTAACGTGAGCCGTCACTGCTGGGAGCCACGAGCTGGACGGCTACGTGGAGTCGGATGCCCGCCCGGGCCTCAGTTTCCCCATTTGTGAAAGGCCCAGCACCCCATTTATTTGGCTCTGCCGAAGGAGCAGCGGAGGAGGCCGTCGGGCGGGCAGAGGCGCCCAGGAGCCGGTCCGTGGCGGATCCCGAGCCCCACCCCACGCAGGCGCCCCGGAGAGTAAAGGAACCCTACCGTAAACAGGCGGCGCCGCCGCGTGGGGCGACCCGATCGCGCGCGTCCGCCGGGCGCGGCGGGGCGGACTTGGGGGCCGGGTCCGGTCTGTTCCCGTCCGATCGCTGTGCCTGGGCCGGGGCGCCCCAGTGCCCAGTCCGCCTGTCCGTCAGCACTCCCGGGGCTCCTCGTCCCAGGCGTCCCCGACACCACCTGCTCTTCGCCGGGCGGTGGATGATGGCGGAGGAGGAGGATTTTGAAAGCCGGCAGTTTCTTTCCTTCGATTTGATTTGCTCAAGATCGGGCCGGCTTCTCCCGCATCCCGCGCGCGTGGCGCACTGGGTAGGGAAGTCCTGTTCTCCAGCAGGAACGTGACGCGTCCTATGTCGTGAACTACCCGTCCCATAATGCAGAGCGCCAGGAACGCCCCGCCCCTCTCCACCCCCTCCCTCCCCCGGCTTCTGGCTCTTTCTCGCAGAACCCGCCCGGCAGTGTTCGGTCGGAGCACCCAGAGACTACGACTCCCGGCAGGCTTTGCGGCCAGTTGTCTACGCCCTTCCAGGAGGATCTTCACGCAACTTTGTTGGCAAAGGCTGAAGCCGCCAAAAGTGTGCCGCGAACGCAGCCGTTCGTTTGCTGTACACACACACACACACACACACACACACACACACACACACACACACACACACACACACACACACA